GTGAAACTCTCAAAAAAAAAAAAAAGATACCCAAGCTTTAGAATATATATACAACTTTTTGCAAAGGTAAAAACATTATCTGTTTGTGGAAATGAGAAAATGAGACAAAAGACTAGCAGAGTGGGCCCAAGATCTCACTGTCAGAGCTGGATGAAGACATGCCTGCGTTTCAGTGGCCATGACACTATTTTGTGCCAACAGGTCACAAATTTTCTTTCCATTTGTTCAGCAGTAATAACAGATCTGATGATCGAATATCTGACAGAAACATAAAACAACAAAGGCAGGATCTCACAACGTAAATGATTTAGGCATATCTGAAATGAATTCCTACGAGGTACGAAAGGAAAAGATTTATAATGAAAATGTTTAGAAATCCTCAAAGCCACTGAATAAAATAGTAATGAGTTTCAACTGTGGCAAAAAAAAAGTCAGCAATGAAAGCAAAGGGACATATAAATATAAATTTCATACTATATTTTACATTTATATATTTTACGCTATATTTTATATATATGAAATTTCAAGCTCTCTAAAAAGCAGTTCCTTTATAACAACAATACAGGATAACTGGATTACTCGAGACAGCTCCACTTGTGAGCAGTGTGGGGAAGCAACTCCGAGGGATGAGAAGGCTCTTGACCATTGAACCTTGGGAAATCTAATTACCTCACTTTTAAATGCAAAAGGGCAAAAGAGGCAATTGTGCAGACTTCTGAATGCCATGAAGAATAAGAACAATGTCTTACTTCACTGTGGAAAAAAATGAAACCTCTTATACATAGCCTACGGTTCTTTCCCCAATTCATGAGACAAGAAGAGTTTAAACAGGTGGCTCAGTTTAGCAAAACAGAAACAGGCGTATTGTGAAAATTAAAACCAACATGGTTTCTAAGCAAGCAGTAATAATTTTAAAAAACGATGTGATAAAGAGTAACAGTCAAGGCAAAGACTGCTTACCAAAAACTAATCAACAGGAAGGAAAACCGAAAACGTTGGGTCCTATTCTGGGTATTGATTCCCGCTGTGCTTTCACTCTTCCCCAGTTCTTTTCAGTTTCACAGTAATACTAGCTGCTTTTCTGGTGCATTGACTGATTAGAAACCCAATTGTAAATTTAAGCAGTTGCTTCCATTTCCAGATAAGACCTGGGTAGTATCAGCACGTCCTTGGTATTGGCTGTAAACAGCTGACTATAATGACAACAGGCAAACATACCCATGAGAGTGCACGTAGGCATGGGAAGAACAGACACCGCTGTAAGTGGGCCTGTGGAGGAGGGGAACTAAGAGCCGCTCCCTTCCAATAGGGATGCTGAAATTCTAACTTAACCTTCCTCACTACATTCCCGACGGCCTCTCAGAGATTATGTACATCCTCAAAGAAAGGTGAAGGGGTAATAAGGTCCGATGGTGACTTAAACAACTACCTAAATTCTTGGTTCCTGTCATCCCCTCCCTACACTTCTGGCAGGCACAGGGAGCACTTGGATCTGTGGAGAAAATGAAGCCAGCATTTTGAAATGTGCCAGAAGAGGAAAAGTGGCTCCTGAGAGCTGAATTCACACATCTAGTTTAACCAGTATGCAGCAGGTCTGCTTAAAAGTTCATAGGAAAACTACAACTGCATCCTAGAGATTGTAATTTAATGGTACACACAAGGTCATGGCCACACAGCAATTTCTTGTGTGAGTGAGTGAACTGCACAGTTCAGGCTACAGTATCAGCAGGGACCAAGCTGGAGGAGAGAGACACCCTCACATCCTTCTTCTGCAGCTGCACACTGAATCCATGCATTGCCAGAGATGATGTCTCTAGGCTCAGCCGTGGCAGCCTGGCTGCTGCCTCCGCTGTTTTGCATGAAGCAAGCATGTCTTCCACTGAGGCTGAAATGTGCTTCTCAGCTTTTTTTGTATTTCAAGTGTACTAAATAGCTTTAAAGAATCTACCAAAAGAAATGGGCTGCAGGGCTTTGAAGAGTTTTAGGTATTTTCAAGAAAGTGGTTTTGTTAAAAGCGTCTTCTGTCTGGAACACCTGTGACCTGTTGAGCTTAATTGGGCTGCAGCTGGCGATGATTGTGGTGTAGCCGCTGCAGGTCCTGGGCGCTGACATTGTGTTCCCTCTGCTCACCCGCCCCTCGCTTTTCTTTTCACGTTCACAGCCTTGCGACCTCCTTCCCTGTGTGTCTGAGGGATTAGGAACCCAGTAGAGTGATGTCCTGCTGTTCGTGAACAGCATGCACTGGAGGTGCTTCAAGGAGGAGGCTACCTGGGAGATTATGTGCTCATGTGGATGCAGGCCCATTTACCCAGGCCCATTGAGACCTGATGAAAGGTGGTTGAATGGCCAGGCATGAAAGATGTGACTGAAGGGAGCACAGCAGGCTCCTGGCTGCAGAGCAGCAGATGGAAGTCAGACTATCACAAGCACAAACAGCAAGGGGTGCCCCAAACTGCCAAGAAAGCAGCTCAGGGAGTAAAATGGTGCTGGAGAAGGGAATACAGAGGTAAAAGCAAGCAGCACTTAAAGTGCCACTTCACTAAAAACTGTTTAAGTGGTGAGTAGAGAAGTGAGTATTCTGGAGGCCAGATTTCAGATTTAAGGAATTACCTAACTTTTGCTCTTGGGCTTAATTCCCTTGAACTGTCTGCAAAATAGGCTTTATGATAATTAATCCATCTGGGATTATGTTAAAGTCATAGAATGGAGGATGCCATACATAAGAAAATAAAAATTTCTGTAAAGACACACTCAAAGCTTAATGACATTAGAGAATGGGAAAACTCTTGGTTGCTTAATTTTGTTGATTCAAAGCTGGTTTTGTTTGTTTTTGTTTTTAAAGACAGGGTCTCTCTCTCTGTTGCCTAGGCTGGAGTGCAGTAGTTTGAACATGGGTCACTGCAGTCTCGACCTCCTGGGCTCACGTAATCCTCCAGTCTCAGCCTTCCAAGTAGCTAGGGCTACAGGTGTGTGCCACCACGCCTGGCTTTTTTCTGTTTTATAGAGATGGAGTCTTACCATGTTGTCCATGCTGGTCTCTAACTCCTGGCCTCAAGTGGTTCTCCTTTTTTGGCCTCCCAAGTGTTGGGACTATAGGCGTGAGCCACCATGCCTGGTCTTAACGTTATCTTGAGGTCTTTAAAATTTATAGCTAAAGTATATACTCAGTGTATAACCTTTCATTATAAACTTGCATGGCGAAGCCTAATTTTTGCTCTTTAAAATTTTATTTACTTATTTTAGAAGATGGGGTTGCAGTGTTGCCCAGGTTGGCCTTGAACTCCTGGGCTCAAGCAATCCTCTTGCTTCAGCCTTCCAAATAGTTTTTGCTTTTTAAAAATTTATAAAATTGATTATTCCACAGAGCTTTGGGGCTGAAAAGATCTTGAGATTTTATTTCATAGTTCCAGCATTTGTATCTGTGGGGATTTTAAATGTTTCTAACTTTAATTGAACAGTAGTGAGATTTTTAAAAAGTATTTTTAGTTTTAAAAAGAGCATACCAATTGGTATGGGAATGGAGAGAAAAGGAATCACAGTGGTAGGAAAGGAGAGCAATAAGAGAGCAAACAGATGTTGGGAGCCCCCTATTCATTCATTTATTCAAGGAATCTTGATTGACCACCTACAAGGAAGCAGGCACTGGGGAATACAACAGTAAAAAACAGTCTTGCTTTCATGAAACAAGGTGTGCAAAAGCACTGGCTCATATACCTAATCTTCAAGGTTCAGTGCAAATGTTTCCACTGGGGAAGCATTCCTAGAGGTGACCTCACTACCTCCCCATGCCTGTTTGTTTTGGGGTCAGTTTTATAAAACCACAGGTGCCTGTACTTCTCTGCCATATCGCAATCGTCAAGATATGGAGTTATTTGTGTTAAATGTCTATCTCCCTTCCTAGCACAGAAGTTCCATAAAGGCCCTGCAGCCTTAGTCTTGCTCTACTTCCCAGACATACCAGGTTAGCACATCATGTGACCTACCAATCTAGTCCAAAAAAAGGTCTCTGGCTAAGATCATCTTTGAACAAAGATATAAACTCGTTTTTGCCTTAGAAAAAAAAAATACACACATGTTCACATACACACAGAGGTGGCTCCTGTTGGGACAACTGTAGTCAGGACAATTATCTACTATGGACTAAAAAGACAAAAAGGTATCAGGCACAATAAGTTATCCTATGTTGAGGTTTGTATTTGTGGGCTTTTGTGGGGCTGATGACCAAGCTGTGGCTGGAAAGCTGACAGCTCTGGAGGAGGCACCAAACTTTGGTTAAAAGAACTCATGTATTGGGAGAGCTTGAGGTTGGTCCTGGACAAAGAGGAGGGGAGGGTAGGGGATGTCCCCGGGAGAAGAAAGCAAGCAAAGTTAGCACTCCTCCCCAAGTCTAGAGCATCTGAACCCCCTTGCTGGTGGTCTGGGAGCTTGGGAGGAAGCTGCTGGGGGGAAGGTGTGGACAAGCGTGTTAAACTGGTTTTGATATTCCCCATGTTTCCTCATCTGTCAGATTTCTTTACTGCCAGTCCTCCCATCTTGCCTCAATGATACACACATAAAGCTGCCACCTGTGAAACTCTGTAGGTTCACCTGGGTAGTCTAGTTTAGGATTCTGGACTCTCTCAGTACTTTCGTGGCATATGTGGCAGGGGTGGGTGTGAGCTGTTAGAGCCTGTTGTTTCTTTATATCCAGTCTTAATCTGGAATGCGCGTCTTTTACTACTTTCCCATTCTCCAATCTGGTGTAGGCTGGCCTGGGCTAATCAGCAGATTTGGTTGGCATCCCTAAAATCATTTGAAGAAAACAGCATGGTGTTAATGGCTATCTGTGTTAAATAGGGAAAAAAATGACTTGACAATATGTAGCTAGCTAAGAGGCGGTGAAGATAGGTCCTCATGAATAACCAATAAGTATACCATTAGCACATGACAGAGAGTGAGAAGAAAATATGATTATGTACATTACACTTATTTTATGGATGTCATACTTATTGACAGTGGTATGTCTTTGTTATATTAACTAGATACTATTTCAAGTGGTGTTTCACTAGTTTTGTGTGTTTGTTAGCCATATAGTAAAGATTCTTAGAGTCTATGGATATCTAGATGGATCTAAGAATACACTGAAACTTATGAAAACATATACCCAGGTATGCATATTATCTATTTTTCTATAGAGAGGTTCAAAACTTTATAGTCTAAAAAGGATCCAAAGCCGAAAAGGGTTAGGAACCACTGCTCTATCATAACTATATTTCAAATCTTCTTAAATCCTCTGAATGCTTCATAATAATACCTGCTTTCCCCTTTACAGATGATGTAGGCCAGAATACAGTTTGGCTGGAATTGTCACAGTTGAGGAGTACAGGAAATACAAAGCGGAGCTGCTCATGCTGGAGGTGAGTGGGTTTTATTTTTGTAGATCATTCTCTTGTACCCTAGAAAATGTCAACAGCTGCCCCTGAGTATAACTAAATGCTTGTTTAGATCTTTATCGATATGAAGAGAAACCTAAAGACCTGTGTCTTGTTTTCATCTATGTTTTTTAAAAATAGGGTAATACAACTGCAAATTTAAGCACACTAGTTAAGAAATGCAAAATCGAAGCTCCCAAGATAAGATTAGACTTTACAAGTGGCATGTATTAACTATGCATAATTTCAGTTAACCGGTGAGTGAATTTAAATGCATACAGGTTTGGAGGTTTGATAACAACACTATATACTGGATATTTAGACACTGAAGAAGTTGTTTCCTTATCTGCAAAATTATATGGGTGGTTGTCTTATAAGCAATGAGGTATACTCTGAACTCTATTTCCTGCATGTCCACTAAAAAGAAAACAAAGAAAGGGAAATCTCTGATTTTACTAATCTGAAAGCCAATAGTGAGATCTAGCTGTTGCATTTTTAACAATAACAAAAAATTATATATGTGATGTAACTGAAAGAAATGACACATACGTGTAAAAAGCCACATAGGCCAAATTTTCATTACAGTTATTCTTTGTTCAGGCCAAGGTGGAGAATAAAGATGATTCAGGTTTTGAAAACTTTAACCAAAATACCTACACATTTTTTTTCTCTCTGATTATCATCTATTATTTAATATATTATCAACCTAAATGTTCTTTCTTAACTATTATTACCGATACTATTTTGCAAGAATGCTAATAAGAGAATAAGGTTTGTATCCAGTTCAGCATTGAAAAAAGCCAAAGTCTCCTAAGGAAAAATTTAAAACTGTCTGCTTGTTAAGCCACACTAAAAATTATGAGAAAGACTGTAATAGCAGGCCACAGATATGGAAAAAGTTGTAGAAAAAGAAGGTTGGATGAAACTACCTGTAGATCATGAGTAAATCATGTTTCAAAATTTCATATAAAAGGTGTAATTAAATTATCACTTGATAAGGTTGGTTTGGTATTGGAAATGCAGCAGTTGGTATACTTGAAGAACTAATGGTGAATTTTTAGATTATTCATCTAGTTTTTAAAACCTAAAGACATAAAGTTGAGTAACTTAAATTGAGTATGTACATTTATACACTTTACATCATCAGTTTAACTAAATGAACTTTCTTCAGATTTTCAGCCATCAAAAAAACAAACAAAAAAAGTATCGTTGGAAACAGACCAGTAGACATTTGTAACCGAGCAGAACTTTTTCAGAGATTTAAGTCAACTGGACACAAGGAGATTATGATACAATGGAGACTATTTTGCAGTCTGAGTCAATGTACTCTCTATTATGAATGATAATACATACACATAAAAGCACCCTATAATGTTATAAAAAGGAGATAATTGAAACAAATGCCAAGAATTTCCTCTTTAGGCTGTACTTTTTCATTTGGAAGTCTAATTGCTAAACTTAGACAAGCTATACCTTGGTAACAAGCATCTCCATTTTAGCATGCTGGCATCTAACTGGAAATAAAACCGACCAATTTGGACAGTGTATTCAAGGTATCTTTTGTAGACATTTTAAGTTACACTGAAGAATGTGAGAGCCAGTAGAAACTGTTTTTTTTTTTTTTTTTTTTTTTTTTTTTGATTGAGGGTTTTTTTTTTTTCCCGGCTCGAGTGCAGTGGGGCAATCTCAGCTCAATGCAACCTCCGCCTCCTGGGTTCAAGCAATTCTCCTGCCTCAGTCTCCCAAGTAGCTGGGATTACAGACGTTTGCCACCACGCCCAGCTAGCTGTTGTGTTTTTAGTAGAGATGGCGTTTCACCATGTGAACCAGGCTGCTCTTGAATCCCTGACCTCATGATCTGCCCACCTCAGCCTCCCAAAGTGCTGGGATTACAGGCATCAGCCATCACGCCCGGCCTGAAATTCCTAATTACTTCACAAGTCTGTCCTACTTCCTACCAACTCTCTTCTCTTTGAAAAAAATATATCTATATCCATAAGCATGCATGCACACACAGACACAGACACACAGACACTTGCAGATGCATATAAATTCACAAGATGTGGTGTAAGTTTAAGCATTGTACTAAAGTGTGATGTGCATGTTACCGTCAGTAGTTCCAAGGCCTAGCGCTTGTGAATCTTTGAAAATTAACAAGGCTGTTAAGATCCTATCACTCTGGCAGCAACCTGGCAAAGCTGTGCCTTTAACAAAAGAATTCTATAATAAAACAAGATTTTACATGCTGAAACAAAATATCTTAAAACATATTTCTTCTGATTGCTTGTTTTAATAATATCTATGGAATTTAAAACCCCCACACACATCAACAAATGTTCCCATGGAAGGTTACATTAAGTTTTGGGCTACCTTCAGAATTATTAATTTTTTATATCAATCTTTGAATGAACACTCTTTGTTTTCTTTAAGAAAAATCCCAAGTCCTGAAAAAACGTTAAGGCTATGTACCTTTATGTGACCAGGGTAACTAAGCAAAGGGGACTCGAGTGGTTTTTACACTATACCCTGTGAATGTCTCTGAGCAAGGTAGACTAAATTCTGCCTCAGCCACTCCTATTTATACAAATGTATGCAATTAGTTGTGACATCTGCTGTATATTAGACCTGAATGGCTAGGGACGGAAAGGCAATTTAAATCTTAAGGAGGAATTTATTAAAATGATATTATTGGGTCAAACTGAACTTAAGGAAAGCAGTGTGGCTGGGCCTCAGTGGGCCAGCTGGAAGTAGGGGCTGGGATGCCATCGGGATTCTGTCTCCATAGTTTTTGTCTCTGCTTCTCTCTGTACTTTGGCCTCACATGACCAGGCACATTGCTGTGTTTTATATCTCACAGCTTCACTCACAAGAAAGGCCTCATTTTCTCAGTTCCAGTAATCAAAACTCTACATAGTCTCTAATTGGCCCAGTCTAGTTGTCACTGTGATGAGAGCAAATTGAATTAGGTCATTTCCTATGCTCTAAATAAACTAGGTGTCAATAAAACCTATCACAAAATAATAAAAGCTATTTACGACAAACCCACTGCCAATATCATACCGAATGGGCAAAAGCTGGAAGCATTCCCTTTGAAATCTGGCACAAGACAAGGATGCCCTCTCTCACCACTCCTATTCAATATAGTATTGGAAGTTCTAGCCAGAGCAATCAGGCAAGAAAAAGAAATAAAGGGTATTCAATTAGGAAAGGAGGAAGTCAAATTGTCTCTATTTGCAGATGACATGATTGTATATTTAGAAAACCCCATCATCTCAGCCCAAACTGTCCTTAAGCTGATAAGCAACTTCAGTGAAGTCTCAGGATACAAAATCAATGTGCAAAAATCACAAGCATTCCTATATACCAATAACAGACAGAGAGCCAAATCATAAGAAAACTCCCATTCACAATTGCTACAAGAAGAATAAAATATTCTAGGAATATAAGTAACAAGGGATATGAAGGATCTCTTCAAGCAGAACTACGAACCACTGCTCAAGGAAATAGGAGAGGACACAAACAGATGGGAAAACATTCCATGCTCATGGTTAGGAAGAATCAATATCGTGAAAATGGCCATAATGCCCAAAGTAATTTATAGATTCAATGCTATCCTCATCAAGCTACCATTGCTCTTCTTCACAGAACTGGAAAAAAACACCTTAAACTTCATATGGAACCAAAAAGGAGCCTGCATAGCCAAGACAATCCTAAGCTAAAAAACAAAAAACAAAACAAAGCTGGAAGCATCAAATTACTTGACTTCAAACTATACTACAAGGCTACAGTAATGAAAATAGCATGATACTGGTACCAAAACAGAGATATAGACCAATGGAACAGAACAGAGGCTTCGGAAGCAATGCCACATCAACCATCTGATCTTTGACAAACCTGACAAAAAAAAAAAAGCAATAGAAAAAGGATTCCCTATTTAATAAACGGTGTTGGGAAAACTGGCTAGCAATATGCAGAAAGCTGAAACTGGACCCTTTCCTGACCTCTTATACAAAAATTAACTCCAGATGGATTAAAGGTTTAAACGTGGCCGGGCGCGATGGCTCAAGCCTGTAATCCCAGCACTTTGGGAGGCCGAGGCGGGTGGATCACAAGGTCAAGAGATCGAGACCATCCTGGTCAACATGGTGAAACCCCGTCTCTACTAAAAATACAAAACATTAGCTGGGCATGGTGGCGCATGCCTGTAATCCCAGCTACGCAGGAGGCTGAGGCAGAAGAATTGCCTGAACCCAGAAGGCGGAGGTTGCGGTGAGCCGAGATCGTGCCATTGCACTCCAGCCTGGGTAGCATGAGTGAAACTCCGTCTCAAAAAAATAAATAAATAAATAAAGGTTTAAACATAAGCCCTAACTCAATAAAAACCCTAGAAGAAAACCTAGGTAATACCATTCAGGACACAGGCATAGGCAAGTTCTAGACTAAAACATCAAAAGCAATGGCAACAAAGCCAAAACAGACAAATGAGATCTAATTAAACTTAAGAGCTTCCACGCAGCAAAAGAAACTGTCATTAGAGTGAACCAGAAACCAACAGAATGGGAAAAAAATTTTTGCAAGTTATCCATCTGACAAACGGCTAATATCCAGAATCTACAGAGAACTTAAACAAATTTACAAGAAACAAACAAACAAACCCATCAAAAAGTTTGCAAAGGATATGAACAGACACTTTTCAAAAGAAGACATTTATGCCACCAACAAACATATGAAAAAAAGCTCTTCATCACTGGTCATTAGAGAAATGTAAATTAAAGCCACATTGAGATATCATCTCATGCCAGT